ATCACAACACTCAGCTAACAACAACAACTCATCACAACACTCAGCTAACAACAACAACAACAACTCATCACAACACTCAGCTAACAACAACTCACTCATCACAACACTCAGCTAACAACAACAACTCATTCATCACAACACTCAGCTGACAACAACAACAACTCATCACAACACTCAGCTAACAACAACAACAACTCATTCATCACAACACTCAGCTGACAACAACAACAACTCACAACACTCAGCTAACAACAACAACAACTCATCACAACACTCAGCTGACAACAACAACAACTCATTCATCACAACACTCAGCTAACAACAACAACAACTCATTCATCACAACACTCAGCTGACAACAACAACAACTCACAACACTCAGCTAACAACAACAACAACTCATCACAACACTCAGCTAACAACAACAACAACTCATCACAACACTCAGCTAACAACAACAACAACTCACTCATCACAACACTCAGCTAACAACAACAACTCACTCATCACAACACTCAGCTAACAACAACAACAACTCATTCATCACAACACTCAGCTGACAACAACAACAACTCACAACACTCAGCTAACAACAACAACAACTCATCACAACACTCAGCTAACAACAACAACTCATTCATCACAACACTCAGCTAACAACAACAACAACTCACTCATCACAACACTCAGCTAACAACAACAACAACTCATCACAACACTCAGCTAACAACAACAACAACTCATCACAACACTCAGCTAACAACAACAACAACAACTCATTCATCACAACACTCAGCTAACAACAACAACAACTCACTCATCACAACACTCAGCTAACAACAACAACAACTCATCACAACACTCAGCTAACAACAACAACAACTCATTCATCACAACACTCAGCTAACAACAACAACTCACTCATCACAACACTCAGCTAACAACAACAACTCACTCATTACAACACTCAGCTAACAACAACAACAACTCATCACAACACTCAGCTGACAACAACTCATTCATCACAACACTCAGCTAACAACAACTCACTCATCACAACACTCAGCTAACAACAACAACAACTCATTCATCACAACACTCAGCTAACAACAACAACTCACTCATCACAACACTCAGCTAACAACAACAACTCACTCATTACAACACTCAGCTAACAACAACAACAACTCATCACAACACTCAGCTGACAACAACTCATTCATCACAACACTCAGCTAACAACAACTCACTCATCACAACACTCAGCTAACAACAACAAAACTCACTCATTACAACACTCAGCTGACAACAACAACTCATCACAACACTCAGCTAACAACAACAACAACTCACTCATCACAACACTCAGCTAACAACAACAACTCATCACAACACTCAGCTAACAACAACAACAACAACTCATCACAACACTCAGCTAACAACAACAACAACTCATCACAACACTCAGCTAACAACAACAACAACTCATTCATTACAACACTCAGCTAACAACAACAACAACTCACTCATCACAACACTCAGCTAACAACAACAACTCATCACAACACTCAGCTAACAACAACAACAACAACTCATCACAACACTCAGCTAACAACAACTCACTCATCACAACACTCAGCTAACAACAACAACTCATTCATTACAACACTCAGCTAACAACAACTTACTCATCACAACACTCAGCTAACAACAACAACAACAACTCATCACAACACTCAGCTAACAACAACAACAACTCATCACAACACTCAGCTAACAACAACTCATTACAACACTCAGCTAACAACAACAACTCATCACAACACTCAGCTGACAACAACAACAACTCATCACAACACTCAGCTAACAACAACAACTCATTCATTACAACACTCAGCTAACAACAACAACAACTCACTCATCACAACACTCAGCTAACAACAACAACAACTCACTCATCACAACACTCAGCTAACAACAACAACAACTCATCACAACACTCAGCTAACAACAACTCATTCATCACAACACTCAGCTAACAACAACAACAACTCACTCATCACAACACTCAGCTAACAACAACAACAACTCATCACAACACTCAGCTAACAACAACAACAACTCATCACAACACTCAGCTAACAACAACAACTCATTCATTACAACACTCAGCTAACAACAACAACAACTCATTCATCACAACACTCAGCTAACAACAACAACAACTCATCACAACACTCAGCTAACAACAACAACAACTCATCACAACACTCAGCTAACAACAACAACTCACTCATCACAACACTCAGCTAACAACTACAACAACTCACTCATTACAACACTCAGCTAACAACAACAACAACTCACTCATCACAACACTCAGCTAACAACAACAACAACTCACTCACTGCAACACTCACTAACACAGTGACACACTCACTGTAACACTCACTAATACAGTGACTCACTCACTGTAACACTCATACAGTGACTCACTCACTGTAACACTCACTAATACAGTGACACACTCACTGTAACACTCATACAGTGACTCACTCACTGTAACACTCACTAATACAGTGACACACTCACTGTAACACTCATACAGTGACTCACTCACTGTAACACTCATACAGTGACTGACTCACTGTACCACTCACTAACACAGTGACTCACTCACTGTAACACTCACTAATACAGTGACACACTCACTGTAACACTCTCTAACACAGTGACTCACTCACTGTACCACTCACTAACACAGTGACTCACTCACTGTAACACTCACTAATACAGTGACACACTCACTGTAACACTCACTAATACAGAGACACACTCACTGTAACACTAACACAGTACCTCACTCACTGTAAGACTCACTAATACAGTGACTCACTCACTGTAACACTCACTAATACAGTGACTCACTCACTGTAACACTCACTAACACAGTGACTCACTCACTGTAACACTCACTAATACAGTGACATACTCACTGTAACACTCATACAGTGACTCACTCACTGTAACACTCATACAGTGACTGACTCACTGTACCACTCACTAATACAGTGACTCACTGTACCACTCACTAATACAGTGACTCACTCACTGCAACACTCACTAACACAGTGACACACTCACTGTAACACTCACTAATACAGTGACTCACTCACTGCAACACTCACTAACACAGTGACACACTCACTGTAACACTCACTAATAAAGTGACTCACTCACTGTTACACTCATACAGTGACTCACTCACTGTAACACTCACTAATACAGTGACACACTCACTGTAACACTCATAGAGTGACTCACTCACTGTAACACTCATACAGTGACTGACTCACTGTACCACTCACTAACACAGTGACTCACTCACTGTAACACTCACTAATACAGTGACTCACTCACTGTAACACTCACTAATACAGTGACTCACTCACTGTAACACTCACTAGCACAGTGACTCACTCACTGTAACACTCACTAACACAGTGACACACTCACTGTAACACTCACTAACACAGTGACTCACTCACTGTAACACTCACTAATACAGAGACACACTCACTGTAACACTCACTAAGTGACTCACTCACTGTAACACTCACTAATACAGTGACTCACTCACTGTAACACTCACTAACACAGTGACACACTCACTGTAACACTCATACAGTGACTCACTCACTGTAACACTAATACAGTGACTGACTCACTGTACCACTCACTAACACAGTGACTCACTCACTATACCACTCACGAACACAGTGACTCACTCACTGTAACACTCACTAATACAGTGACTCACTCACTGCAACACTCACTAACACAGTGACACACTCACTGTTACACTCACTAATACAGTGACTCATTCACTGTAACACTAATACAGTGACTCACTCACTGTAACACTCACTAATACAGTGACTCACTCACTGTAACACTCACTAATACAGTGACTCACTCACTGTAACACTCACTAATACAGTGACACACTCACTGTAACACTCATACAGTGACTCACTCACTGTAACACTCATGCAGTGACTGACTCACTGTACCACTCACTAATACAGTGACTCACTGTACCACTCACTAATACAGTGACTCACTCACTGTAACACTCACTAACACAGTGACTCACTCACTGTAACACTCACTAATACAGTGACACACTCACTGTAACACTCATACAGTGACTCACTCACTGTAACACTCATACAGTGACTGACTCACTGTACCACTCACTAACAGTGACTCACTCACTGTACCACTCACTAATACAGTGACTCACTCACTGTAACACTCACTAACACAGTGACTCACTCACTGTAACACTCACTAATACAGTGACTCACTCACTGTAACACTCACTAACACAGTGACTCACTCACTGCAACACTCACTAACACAGTGACACACTCACTGTAACACTCACTAAGTGACTCACTCACTGTAACACTAACACAGTACCTCACTCACTGTAACACTCACTAATACAGTGACACACTCACTGTAACACTCACTAATACAGTGACTCACTCACTGTAACACTCACTAATACAGTGACTCACTCACTGTACCACTCACTAACACAGTGACACACTCACTGTAACACTCACTAATACAGTGACTCACTCACTGTAACACTCATACAGTGACTCACTCACTGTAACACTCACTAATACAGTGACTCACTCACTGTACCACTCACCAACACAATGACTCACTCACTGTACCACTCACTAACACAATGACTCACTCACTGTAACACTCACTAATACAGTGACTCACTCACTGTAACACTCACTAATACAGTGACTCACTCACTGTACCACTCACTAATACAGTGACTCACTCACTGTAACACTCAACAACACCACTGTCGCTGAACCGTAATCTGCTTCTGAGGGATGACGTCATCCCTGTGTCGGTTATCCGCACCGCTTCTGGGTAGGGAGGGGGCGAGATGACGTCATCCCTGTGCCAGTTACCGTTGAACAGCTTTTGAGCGATGACGTCATCCGGCTTGGTTATCCAGAGCGATTTTTTTGGAGTGACGTCATCCGTGTCGGTTAAAAGGGATCCAGATTTTGGGATATGACGTCATCCTTGTCGGTTAATCGGTACGAGTCGGATGACGTATGACATCATTCAGTGTTTGCAATCAGAGCGCGCGACGTCATTGCGCGTCGGTGCAGCGAGAACTGACAGACATGTTGGGACATTACGTCATCGGCGTTTGTTCTCTGACCCAGGTGCCAGATCCTGACGTCACCAGTGTTGTTTGAACGAGAAATGTCGTAGTGACGTCTGTCGTACAGCACGGTCGTGACGTCTCCCTATCTGTTTTCCAAACGTATTACGGACGTGACGTCATCGGTATAAGTATTTCCCTATGGCGGGCAAAACTTTGACGCGGAGGTGTGATGTCATTCGCGTATGTTTACGTCAATCACCTTTCTGATGTAAAAAAACTATTCTGGAACGTGAATTGCATGTGACGTCATCCGGTTGCCGAGGCGGCGTTGGCATGACGTCACTGGCGTTGCCGAACCGCGTGACTTTGGGTTGTGGCCGTGACGTCACCACCTGGCGCGTGACAGGCTAACTGATATTACGTCACGCACGAAACAAAAACATTGACGCGAGACGCCGCTCAGAAAAAATAAATGACGTCATCACCACCACGTTCACTGAGGCTCACTCCCATAGGGTTCAGTGTTAATCACTGGGGCTCGCTCCCATAGGGTTCAGTGTTAATCACTGAGACTCACTCCCATAGGGTTCAGTGTTAATCACTGAGACTCACTCCCATAGGGTTCAGTGTTAATCACTGAGACTCACTCCCATAGGGTTCAGTGTTAATCACTGAGGCTCACTCCCATAGGGTTCAGTGTTAATCACTGGGGCCCACTGCCATAGGGTTCAATGTTAATCACTGGGGCTCACTCCCATAGGGTACAGTGTTAATCGCTGGGACTCACTCTCATAGGGTTCAGTGTTAATCACTGAGACTCCAATAGGGTTCAGTGTTAATCACTGGGGCTCACTCCCATAGGGTTCAGTGTTAATCACTGAGACTCACTCCCATAGGGTTCTGTGTTAATCGCTGGGGCTCACTCCCATAGGGTTCAGTGTTAATCACTGAGACTCACTCCCATAGGGTTCAGTGTTAATCACTGAGGCTCACTCCCCTATGGTTCAGTGTTAATCACTGAGACTCCAATAGGGTTCAGTGTTAATCACTGGGGCTCACTCCCATAGGGTTCAGTGTTAATCACTGAGACTCACTCCCATAGGGTTCAGTGTTAATCGCTGGGGCTCACTCCCATAGGGTTCAGTGTTAATCACTGAGACTCACTCCCATAGGGTTCAGTGTTACTCACTGAGACTCACTCCCATAGGGTTCAGTGTTAATCACAGGGGCTCACTCCCATAGGGTTCAGTGTTAATCACTGGGACTCACTCCCATAGGGTTCAGTGTTAATCACTGAGACTCTAATAGGGTTCAATGTTAATCACTGAAGCTCACTCCCATAGGGTTCAGTGTTAATCACTGAGGCTCACTCCCATAGGGTTCAGTGTTAATCACTGGGGCTGACTCCCATAGGGTTCAGTGTTAATTACTGAGACTCACTCCCATAGGGTTCAGTGTTAATCACTCGGGCTCACTCCCATAGGGTTCAGTGTTAATCACTGGGACTCACTCCCATAGTGTTCAGGGTTAATCACTGAGACTCTAATAGGGTTCAATGTTAATCACGGAGGCTCACTTCCATAGGGTTCAGTGTTAATCACTGAGGCTCACTCCCATAGGGTTCAGTGTTAATCACTGGGGCTCACTCCCATAGGGTTCAGTGTTAATCACTGAGACTCACTCCCATAGGGTTCAGTGTTAATTACTGAGACTCACTCTCATAGGGTTCAGTGTTAATCACTGGGGCTCACTCCCATAGGGTTCTGTGTTCATCACTGGGACTCACTCCCATAGGGTTCAGTGTTAATCACTGAGACTCACTCTCATAGGGTTCAGTGTTAATCAATGGGGCTCACTCCCATAGGGTTCAGTGTTAATCACTGAGGCTCACTCCCAAAGGGTTCAGTGTTAATCACTGGGACTCGCTCCCATAGGGTTCAGTGTTAATCACTGAGGCTCACTCCCATAGGATTCAGTGTTTATCACTGGGACTCGCTCCCATAGGGTTCAGTGTTAATCACTGAGACTCATTCCCATAGGGTTCCGTGTTAATCACTGAGGCTCACTCCCCTATGGTTCAGTGTTAATCACTGAGACTCCAATAGGGTTCAGTGTTAATCACTGGGGCTCACTCCCATAGGGTTCAGTGTTAATCACTGAGACTCACTCCCATAGGGTTCAGTGTTAATCGCTGGGGCTCACTCCCATAGGGTTCAGTGTTAATCAATGAGACTCACTCCCATAGGGTTCAGTGTTACTCACTGAGACTCACTCCCATAGGGTTCAGTGTTAATCACAGGGGCTCACTCCCATAGGGTTCAGTGTTAATCACTGGGACTCACTCCCATAGGGTTCAGTGTTAATCACTGAGACTCTAATAGGGTTCAATGTTAATCACTGAGGCTCACTCCCATAGGGTTCAGTGTTAATCACTGAGGCTCACTCCCATAGGGTTCAGTGTTAATCACTGGGGCTCACTCCCATAGGGTTCAGTGTTAATTACTGAGACTCACTCCCATAGGGTTCAGTGTTAATCACTGGGGCTCCATCCCATAGGGTTCATTGTTAATCACTGGGACTCACTCCCATAGGGTTCAGTGTTAATCACTGAGACTCTAATAGGGTTCAATGTTAATCACTGAGGCTCACTCCCATAGGGTTCAGTGTTAATCACTGGGACTCACTCCCATAGGGTTCAGTGTTAATCACTCAGACTCTAATAGGGTTCAATGTTAATCATTGAGGCTCACTCCCATAGGGTTCAGTGTTAATCACTGAGGCTCACTCCCATAGGGTTCAGTGTTAATCACTGGGGCTCACTCTCATAGGGTTCAGTGTTAATCAATGGGGCTCACTCCCATAGGGTTCAGTGTTAATCACTGAGGCTCACTCCCATAAGGTTCAGTGTTAATCACTGAGACTCTAATATGGTTCAATGTTAATCACTGAGGCTCACTCCCATAGGGTTCAGTGTTAATCACTGAGGCTCACTCCCATAGGGTTCAGTGTTAATCACTGGGGCTCACTCCCATAGGGTTCAGTGTTAATCACTGAGACTCACTCCCATAGGGTTCAGTGTTAATCACTGGGGCTCACTCCCATAGGGTTCAGTGTTAATCACTGAGACTCTAATAGGGTTCAATGTTAATCACTGAGGCTCACTCCCATAGGGTTCAGTGTTAATCACTGAGGCTCACTCCCATAGGGTTCAGTGTTAATCACTGGGGCTCACTCCCATAGTGTTCAGGGTTAATCACTGAGACTCTAATAGGGTTCAATGTTAATCACGGAGGCTCACTTCCATAGGGTTCAGTGTTAATCACTGAGGCTCACTCCCATAGGGTTCAGTGTTAATCACTGGGGCTCACTCCCATAGGGTTCAGTGTTAATCACTGAGACTCACTCCCATAGGGTTCAGTGTTAATTACTGAGACTCACTCTCATAGGGTTCAGTGTTAATCACTGGGGCTCACTCCCATAGGGTTCTGTGTTCATCACTGGGACTCACTCCCATAGGGTTCAGGGTTAATCACTGAGACTCTAATAGGGTTCAGTGTTAATCAATGGGGCTCACTCCCATAGGGTTCAGTGTTAATCACTGAGGCTCACTCCCAAAGGGTTCAGTGTTAATCACTGGGACTCGCTCCCATAGGGTTCAGTGTTAATCACTGAGGCTCACTCCCATAGGATTCAGTGTTTATCACTGGGACTCGCTCCCATAGGGTTCAGAGTTAATCACTGAGACTCATTCCCATAGGGTTCCGTGTTAATCACTGAGGCTCACTCCCCTATGGTTCAGTGTTAATCACTGAGACTCCAATAGGGTTCAGTGTTAATCACTGGGGCTCACTCCCATAGGGTTCAGTGTTAATCACTGAGACTCACTCCCATAGGGTTCAGTGTTAATCGCTGGGGCTCACTCCCATAGGGTTCAGTGTTAATCACTGAGACTCACTCCCATAGGGTTCAGTGTTACTCACTGAGACTCACTCCCATAGGGTTCAGTGTTAATCACAGGGGCTCACTCCCATAGGGTTCAGTGTTAATCACTGGGACTCACTCCCATAGGGTTCAGTGTTAATCACTGAGACTCTAATAGGGTTCAATGTTAATCACTGAGGCTCACTCCCATAGGGTTCAGTGTTAATCACTGAGGCTCACTCCCATAGGGTTCAGTGTTAATCACTGGGGCTCACTCCCATAGGGTTCAGTGTTAATTACTGAGACTCACTCCCATAGGGTTCAGTGTTAATCACTGGGGCTCCATCCCATAGGGTTCAGTGTTAATCACTGGGACTCACTCCCATAGGGTTCAGTGTTAATCACTGAGACTCTAATAGGGTTCAATGTTAATCACTGAGGCTCACTCCCATAGGGTTCAGTGTTAATCACTGGGACTCACTCCCATAGGGTTCAGTGTTAATCATTGAGACTCTAATAGGGTTCAATGTTAATCACTGAGGCTCACTCCCATAGGGTTCAGTGTTAATCACTGAGGCTCACTCCCATAGGGTTCAGTGTTAATCACTGGGGCTCACTCTCATAGGGTTCAGTGTTAATCAATGGGGCTCACTCCCATAGGGTTCAGTGTTAATCACTGAGGCTCACTCCCATAAGGTTCAGTGTTAATCACTGAGACTCTAATATGGTTCAATGTTAATCACTGAGGCTCACTCCCATAGGGTTCAGTGTTAATCACTGAGGCTCACTCCCATAGGGTTCAGTGTTAATCACTGGGGCTCACTCCCATAGGGTTCAGTGTTAATCACTGAGACTCACTCCCATAGG